CTCACCCCCCCCTGCTGGGCACCTCTTAATCAAATGTGACGTGTGTCTGAATGACGGCCAAAGAACAGATTTCTTTGGGACTTGAACAACAAGCTGCAGCTCGCTTGAACAGGATTCCATTTGCATTTGTTTAGCGCTGACCTCATCCCAGATTCTCGTCACAGCCAAATTGTTTCGCAATTCTTAACGCTGACCGCCGTGGGCCGGCTCTGGCGACGCTGCCCTCCCCCGCACTTTTCACACAGACGAGCAGAAAAAGCAGCATGCATAATTCAAGTGGAAAGCAGGAAACAGCTGATGTGGGTAAACAAATGGAAAGTACAGTGAGTGTGTGTGTGTGTGTGTGTGTGTGTGAGTGTGTGTCCACGCGTGAACACTCACTCTGCTCACACAGAGGTGTTGGGATTTGTGAAATTGCGTGGGTTTGCAGAAGGGAGCGCAACAGATCTGAGAGTAGATTTCAGATGCAAATCAGTCGTCATCTCTGAAACACCCGCTCCTACCTGTCACATCCACGCGCCCTTTTTTTTATTTCCCCCCCCCCAAAAAAACACTGCGTCCAATTAAAAGTGCAACTGTAATGAGAGAACGTCAAGTGTCGCTGCTCTGTGTCAATCACTGTTTGAACGAGACTTTTATTTTTTTGGCGTGATACGACCTCCAGGACGTTTCCTGACCCGCCTCCACCCACCTCCACCCGCCTCCACCCGCTTCTTATGTAATGGGAAAAGCACTCGGAACAATGTATTCCTGTTCTCCGACAGCTCGTCTCATCTGAGTGCACACTGCCTGTGTCATCACTTCTTCTTCTTTTTCATCCAGTATTCATGGTTTCAGTCTTGATGAGAGTCAGGTTTTTTTTTTTTTTTTTTGCCGTACGTGTCTGCTGACTTCACCCAGACTAACCTACACGATTCAATCTAACAGTTGTTACCCAGTGGTACTTGGAACAAGGAGCTACAAGGAGCGAAGGAGGAGAAGGTACAACTTTAAAACAGAAATGGGGCGACATCACGGTTCACTCCACTGGGTCACATTAGGAAAATCTGTCCTGACTCAGCCCTGGATAAATGCCAGTCAGAGGGAGAGGTAACCCCCCCCCTCTACCTCACATATATATATATATATATACTGTATATACAGTAGCTGAGGCGCTAACATTTAGATTTTCATGTTCATTTCCAGTGTTGTTGGAGACTAAAAAAAATAGACTAACATGTAGTTAAAACGTCAGTGCAAATCAAACAGAAGATTCACTAAAGTCAGCCATCATTCAGCTGAACGTTCTTCAACAGGTTCAAGTAAAGTCGTCAAAAAAAAAAAACAGTTAAATGATGACAAAAAAAATGTGGAACAATAAATAAAATAAAAGCAGTCAATACGCTCTCAAAAACCAAGAGACTAGAAGCCAGAACAATATAAATAAAACTGAACCAGTTAATTAGCTAATAGCTAATGAAAGGTAGATTAAAAACAAACTTAAAAATAAAACCCAGAGAACTGTAATGAGTAAAAACAAATAAACAAATATCAGGAATGAAACCCTGACCGTTCAAATGAGGTCAACCAACGAGCTCAAATTTGGCTACAGTGACTTCAAACAGTCTTTAAAACAGGAAAATAGACCGTCTCTCTGAGCCAAAACAAAAACAAAAGTCAATTTGTTTATTAAGTTTACAATCAGACGCACATGAAACACTTCAACTTGGGACATTTCTCTGAATGATCATGTCACTAACAGAGGCTCAGAGGTACAGTAGGGTCAGAACATCTGTCCACCACCGTATCCTTTAACAACCAAACCGAGACGCTCCAGACTGAAACAGGAAGTGGAACAGTTCACATCTATATCTGCACATCACTGTCAGACTCAGCGCCTTATTTTAGCCGCAGCTGCAGATTCACTTGTTTCTGTCTAAACCCGTGTGAAGACGAGGTGAGATCAAGTGGGTTTGGTTTTTATTTCTGGATGTGTCATCACCACAGACCCGACAACTGGATTCCCGGGCCCCTACGGTTTGGAACACTAAAGCGCCGAGTGACCCGAGTCACATCAGTGGAACAAAACTCAGACGTGAGTCACTGTGAGTGGTGGGTATTCACCTACTAAAAATGTCACTGAGGAAGAGAAAGAGGAAGAGGAAGAGAGACTCCAGTCAGTACTATCACAACTGATAGTCTTGACCTATCACACGAGGCCACTTTTAATTTCATCTAATCATGAAACTTCAGCTAGCAGTACGATATTTTAACCTGACTTTCAGTCCAACTATATTTTTATAGCAGTCTAATTTAACTTAGTCCGACACGGCGACCTAATTCGACCTTTGACCTGATCTCCGTTCGGTCAGGGTCCAATATGGCGACCTTTGACCTGATCTCCGTTCGGTCTAAAAGTCCAGTTTGACACCAACCATTCTAACATCGTGGAAATATGAAGTGTACACAGCGGCTGAGCTCACGTGCAAGTCACACACATTCCACTGAAANNCGAGAGTCCGCGGGGGGTCCACCCGGTGGACGGTGGGAGCGTCACATGTGCTCATTATTATTAACGGCTCTGTGATTCCCTTGTCATAAAACAGGACACGGTGGGGGGAAAAAAAAAAAAAAAAAAGGCCTCACGTCAACAGATAAGAGGCTCCAGCACAGACACAAACGGAGGGCCAGCGGAGGTCAGGGGGCCCCAACAGACAGACAGAGAGAACAGGAGGGGGGGGGGGGGTCAGTGCTTACCGTAGACAATGTTGCAGTGAACCGCAGCGGCCAGCAGTACAGTCAATAAGCTGACACTCCATAATGCAGCGGGGGCTGATGGGAAAGCCATGGTCGGGTGCACAGATCCGCCTGACTCGCTGAATCCTCGGGAGGACAGAGGAGCTCCGCAGTGTCACCTGCAGGGAGAGGAGCGCACGCATGAGGCCAAACAAGGAGGTAATTGGTTACTGGACAATGAGTTTGTCCCCACCACAATTCACCGCCGCTGTGAAAAATGTGCGTCCCTCCCTCTGTGAACACGACTGCCGGCCTCTTCATTGATCTGTTTTTTTTTTTTTTTTTATAGAACACTGACAAACTGGACATGTGGAGGAGGAGGTGAGGAGGAGGAGACCAGTGTGTGAAATTAGGGACATTTTTTAAACGTTTAATTTGTATTTATATATATTTAATATATTATTTATATTATTATTGATTGGCTCAAATTGTAAGTCACTTTGGATAAAAGCTTCTGCCAAATGTATTTAATAATAATAATAATAATATAATTAATAATAAACCCAAAGAAACCACAACATTTACAATGTGTTTTCATACTTTTAGTCACTTTTCAACATATTTTATATTTTATAACATTTGTTTGTCATAAAAATTATTAGCAAACTGAGTTCCATGGCTGTTAATAAATCAAATTGTTGACCGATAAGAACAGAACAAACGAAAACCTCTCTCGTTTGTTTGTTTGTTTGTTTGTTTGTTTGTGTGCGTGTCGTGCTTGATACAAACAATGAAATATTTTTTCTACCAGGTTTCATTTGGCCGTGACTTCTTCCACTTTTGTTTTTCTTTCCTTCCATGACGGGACTGTTGTTCTGCTCCTTCGGTCTATTCCTTGTCAAACAAAGACAGGTCCAATTTTGCGCTAGCTGTAGCACAGCAGCATGCTAACAATCAACTGTCCGGTCGGATTTGTATCTCCCTGTCGAATTCGTTTGCTTTGCTACAGCGCATGCTCACAAGAGATCACTTAGCCCCGCCCATTCAATCAGTATTAGGGAATACAAATCCGACAGTTATAACGTCCTGTTGGATTTGTATACCGTGTTTAAAACTATAAATATATTTATCCGACAGGTAGAATTCACTTATCGAAAAGTATATCGAGTTTTAAACCATAGACCGATGTTTTTTTTTAGCTATCAGAAGAACGCCCGACAAGTCTACACAGATTACTACGTCATCATCATCGACGAAGATGCAGCTGCCACTTCAGGTTCAGGTGAGGTCAATGACCATCATCGGAAACTTGAGAATCTGACGATTTATACGGACGTTTACGTGTAATAAAATTTAGAATAAATAAATAATTGGTTTATATATATATATATATTAAAACAAATTATTCGATTATTTGTTCTTTTTTTGTCTTCCCTCCAATTTTCCGATGTTCGATACAGATAACAGTCTAATTTAACTCCAGTATTTTTTTTCTTGTACTGCAGTTTTACTCGGGACAGTTGTACTTAATTTAGTCTTAATATACTCTGTCCAACAGTACTTTTTTTTTTTGGCCTGGTCCAACTGTACAATCACAGTCTCATTAATCAGCCCAGTATTCTAGTTTTGTTCAGTTCAATTGTACTTAGTCTAATAAGTATAAACTAGTTCATTTATTCCCAGATCACTAGTTTAACTCTGCTCGGTCCAATAGACTTGTTTACATGTAACAAACCCCGCTGTATTTAGTCATTAATCTCAGTCTTTCTGTTACTCTGGTTCAATGGTCCAAACGCATTTGGTCCAAAAGTCATTTTTTACTTTTTAAATAAAGTTTCACTTGAATCACTGGACGTGTTCCCCGAAGTTTTTGACGATCTCTGACGTCACTGTTGTTATTTATTGTTCAGCTCTGAAAGAAGTGACCGGGAACTTCGTCCGTTTCCATTTAGAGGAAAACAGACTATAAATCATCAGATGAACAGTTCCTGTTCAAGTAGAACAGGACCATGACTTCACTCTGACACCGGGAGGTGACGCTGCTGTGGGTACTTTTTAATGGACGCTCTGAGGCATAAAAGTCGGTATGTGTGTGTGAGAGAGAGTCTGATGGGATTTCTCTTAATGACAGAAACACTCTGTGTTTTTTTTACCTCCCTTGATCAGTCCACCTCCCCCCTCCCCCTTCACCCC